AAAGATTAGATTTTTCACCGTAATTGTCTGGATAGCAGAAAACGGGGTGTGTCTATAACTTAATGGTTTTCTCTATAACTTCATTCCTAGAGTCCGATAACCTACAACAAATTCGCCAAAAAATCTTTGCCGCAGTCGATTTCTGTCAAAATGTCTCCCATCGGCAAGAAGGAAAGACCAGCAGCTCCTCAAACCAAATACCTTCGTTCCTGGATAGCAACAAGGACTTAACAACGCAGTTCACCGAATGGCTGCAACCGGATTCGCCGCACCTGGCCTACATTCCACCGGAAGTGGTTGTCGAGCTGCCGGCTGCCACAGCATGCCATCGGAATAAAGTCATTAGCTGGATTATGGGCTGCTGGCTGTTGCAGCTACTGAACCCTTTGAAATCGTTGGAAATAATACGACAACGGCGCAATGGTGATTTGCAACGATTTCAGTGCAAGAATCCCGATTTCTTGCTGCAGGAGTTACAGACATTCTATGCTGGCGCCGGCAATGAACCTGATCTGTACGTGGGACCGGAAATTGAGGTGATTCAGTACTTGCCGCTGGCCTTCAAGGAATTTCTCGGTCGCTGCTTGCAGGTCGATGTCGGAAAACGCGCTACGTTAGCAAACCTGGTACAGCTACATTTTCTCGATATGAGAAAGTCCATCGCAGAGCTTTTTGCCCTGGACACAGCGCACTATCAAAAACTTCTGCCAACCGAAGAGCGATTTTCAGTGAAGAATTTACGCGACCATCCGTTTTGGCGGCGTTATTCGCATATGATCACCGTTCATCTTGGCGATATACATTTCAGCAATGCCAACGCGACGACCTCTGCTCAGCCTCCCTGGAAAACCGTAGAATTATGGCAATTTTCTCTAGATGGCAGCACAAATGAGAAACTGAGGAATGACCGTGAGCTATTTGCAAAAGCGTACGGAAAACTATTGCTCGTTACCGCACTGAATGATAGCACGGAAGTGCATAGCAAAACCCGTGCCAGTTTCCATGGAATACGTGCTCTCCAGAAGAAATCCACGAATGTCCTGCATCATTTCGGATGTCAGTTTACCTCGCCCAAGGGTGTTGCATTACCGGAATTTCAGCTTTTCGTCGAGCATTGTCAAGGTGTGTTACCACGCGGCCACGCCTACGATAGTATTCATTCATTGCACTAGTTAAACGTAACATACACGAGTCAAATCGAGTGAATTATTTCACAGCCCCAGGAAGGCAGTAGGACAGAAAGCGCAACTACCCGTAGACTGCATTACTAACCGTCCGTATTTGTACCTCCGTTGCTTATACTAATAATATTAAAATGATCGATTTTGAAAATTGTAATTCTGTTATATAGTTGCGCCTGTGGTAGTGTTAAAAGCACTCCGCTAGTTAATATTTACTGTACAGGTTTTGCTCAAAACGGTTGACTTCGTTTGATGGGGCATGCAGTAATTAGTTCTTTTTGACATCTTGTTTCTGTTAAGGGTCTTTGCGGGAAATTTCGCTTTACTATCTCACTGGCCACTGTTGTGTTTTAGGCAAAAATTTCGACCAGGCGGCATCATTTTTCATACCGGTTGATATCCTTGAAAAATGGGTCACTTCAGTTTTGCGTGGATTAGAATACATTCACGGTCACGGGATCATCCACCGTAACCTCAACAGCCGCATTATCCTGTTCACGGGACCTCCAGATTTCCAGGGCACCATAAAGATTGGTGGTTTCCAGAACATGCGCCAGCTGGAAGGAGAGCTCACGGCGATCGGTGAGCTCAGCAAACGACAAGGGGAGGATGGTCGTTTTGCCGCCCCCGAACTCGTTAATAATTACGAAGGCAATCCCAACGTCGGGCGCCTTAGCGACATCTGGAGTTTGGGTTGTATTGTGCTCCATCTGGCCAGTGGAAAGCCGCCCCTGTATGAGGGACGTCAGAATAAAGAAATCAAGCTGGAGATGGCGGTTCTGTATCATTTGAACGGCGACAAGAGGAAGCTGCCGGAGATCTACGACTGGATACCATCCGGCGTTAAAGCGTTCATTCTTCAGTGTCTGCAGTTTGATCCGCAATTACGACAAACCGCGGCTGCACTACTTGATGGCAGCAATGGCAAGCTTTTTGGAAATTCCTCAGGCGATCACAATTATCAACAAGGCCGCGGTGCTCCTGTGCTGCCATTGGGAGTAGTGCAGTACTGGGAAAATACCTCTGTATAAGTAAAGAAATACTGACTCTTATGCAGATGCACGTGGACATTCCCCCAGGCTTTCTTTGCATGTGATTCACCGCGTCTTTTTGAGACATTCACTACGGTTTATCGTTGAGTTTTTGAAACACCCTTTCCCTAATTTACATTTCTTAATACCTAAACCGCTTTCCGAATATGTGGACGACGGTGCTGCACAATTTTATCATTTCTGCTGATAGAAAGCCGCTGCATGCGATATACCTACATGATATGTAATGTATGCCTATTTGCACTTTGAAACAACATCTGTCAAAGTACGTACTGAATTTATTCTTTAATTATGCAACTTCATACATCCACTCCTAGTCAACAAGACTACTGTACAACTCAGCTGTCAAGGTGCAATTTATACCGAAGGCTGGAGGAAGTGGAGAAACTGCAGATGCTGTTGTAATACCCACAGAAAATTACGCTTGGTTCCTGTTCTCAAACAATCCAGAATTATTTCTAAGAAATAAGAAGATTTCGGTGTTGATAACGTCAGGCCGCATAGGTAATCCGCCATTTCGTCGAGGAAAAATGGTCGACCGTCACTTCGTCGAACAGACTCGTCACGAAGTCGAGCTGCCGTTTTGGTAAACCGTCTCAGCTTTTCGTATGTTTCTCAGGCTCTTCGATTTTTTAGTTTTCTTTTTATGTTTTCTTAATTTTCTTAGCCGTCATCCTCGTGACGGTTGACTCAGCCAACATAGTGTCGGTCGACAAAATTTCGGTGATTGTAGCGTACGTACATATATAGACTGTACCTATTGTCGTATAGCAACGATGGTTATTGTGATAAGTACTTCTTACTTGTTATTATTACCAGTTATCATTCAGTATCGATTGTACTGATGTGTGGTTAATTAATAAATATTAACTACAATATTGAGAGACTTCACAGTAAGCAACTACCGTAGCAACTCAGGAGCGAGAAAATGTATTCCAAAGTCAGTTAATGTAGTTGTTCGCAGTCCCCAGCATTAATGCTGAGTACAACTAACAACATTTCCGCGTTGAATCTTTGCCCTATATAACACGATGCCGCATACATTCACCCTCAGCTGACGGCAGGATGCACATTAGTATTGGCGTCTTATATTCTGTTCTAAATCCGCCTATAGTTTTTATTTTTTTTAAAGATGCTTGGTAGTAGCACCCCAAGTCCAAGCCCATCTCGCTGTAGCCGGCAAAAGGCAGGGTGTAAAACCTGGCAGTGGCACCTGCCAATGGCACTGCCAGTGGCATGGCATGCGATAAAACCTGGAGAGTTTGGCAACTGGCAAACGATAAATCCTGGCAGATGCTGCATAAAATGTGGCACAATGTATGAGCGGTTCCGACCTTCAAAGTGTTTGGTCTACTGTAAAATTCTTTAAATGTTGTCAGTATGCAGATTGTTTTTGCATACAGTGTTAATAACGTTAGCCATCAACTAAGGAAGAAGCGTTTGCTTGCAAAACTTGAAAAGGTCACGGTATTCTGCCTTTGCGCAAAGCACCAAAATAAGAAAATCACACGACCCGTAAAAAATGTAGTCGCGGCATTACCTGAAGGCACACCGCTGCAATGTGCGTTGCGATTGAATGGTGCTTTATTCAGTTAATTAGGGGCAGTTGATTTATAAATGTCCACATTTGCACGGTACGTAGCTAATGCGTTTATACATATGCAGAGGCAATCCGCATGTTGGAGATTCTTTTTAAGTTTCTTTGCACATCCATTTGGTGGTTTTGCTTGTTTGGATCGCTGCGAGTATCGTATCTTAACGCGAGCAATAATGTACTCGTAATTAGAAACTCTCGCTGCACACCATACAGTGATCTGTAAGTAAAAGGTTGAAACAAACCAGCCAACAGATTCGAATTTTAAATTATTGTTCTTTAAAATCTTAAAATCTTTCAGGGTTCCTTTAAGGAACAGACTACAGACCATCCATAGCTTTGCACGCTCTAACAAACTACGAGTACAAACGCAAAATACAGCGCACTCTAAGTTACAGGGCACTTTTAAAGTGTGCACTGTGCAGCGAGAGGGGCTATTAAATACTTTATCAAACCCAAAACATAAGTCGCATTATTTTATGATATCAATTCACCGGAAAAAAGTATAGAAGGTAATCAATATAAAAATCAAAAACCGCTTCACTACTTTATTAATTTTTCAGTTGTTTTATTTTTAAATAACCGCACTTCGCCACAATACTGCACTCTGTACATGTAGAGTATACAAAATTATGCGTACACATAATAATCCCAAATTTACGCGTATATTTGTGCCATTGCCACTTTCCATTGAGCTAATTCAGGAATGAATACACAATTGCTTTACACTACTACATACGTTTTACAAGGTTGCACGACTAGAGAGTGGCAATAGTATTTGTGTACGTAACGTGTTGCGGCTCATAGAATAAATTTTTCCTGTGATTAGCTCGCTCGTTTCCGCTGTTTATTAATTTTCGTTGCAATGAAATATATGTTTACAGTTCGTTGTGAATCGCCAACATATTGTCATGAATAACCTCGATAAAGCATACACATTACGCCAAAGCGCTGATTAAAAGTAACTGAAATAACACAGTCCATAAAAAACTATGTAAATTGAGCGCGGGCTAAACGTAAATAACAAATCAGCTTATAACGATGCCAATACTAGCTGCATATTTAGTTGTTTACTGCTTACCAAGCGAAAACTATTATTTAAAGGTAGTGGTAAATTGTAATGGTGCTTCTTACTTCATTTAATTTTTAAGTGACATAATTGTTGATTTATTCAAAGTTAACCACTGTAACGCTAATTAAGCATACCTGGTAACATTCCCTCAGTATATTGACGGCAAGCAGTTTCGTACCGGAAGAGCAACCATATTGCTGATTTGCTGTAAACGATTTTAAAAACGTTACGAAATCATTTTTGAAGAGAGAAAAGCAGTTATTAAGTCGAGTTCCGTTTTTGTAACACGCTTACCATTAGTGTTGTGACTTACAGATAATCACCGAGCCACATATCCAGTTTTTGGCTTATGATAGCGGTTGAGGAATTTTTGCCACTGCCCACACTTGGCTAGATCCAGCAGGGTGGTTAACGGTGTTTTTACATGTTTTTAGTTCTTAATCGTGCTATGGTGCCGGCTTGGCTTGATTATTTGGAACGAGTGCATGCGAAACTTTGCTGTTATCACAAAAAAACCGGCGCAATTTCTACATGAACTTTGGAACTCTGCATTCGCTGGATAGCTCCGCAGACAGCTAGTCTTATCTGGTTTTGCTACTCACCAGTCAGAGTAGACGATTGCTTTGCCCGTTTTGCATAACGCCGAAATGAATGATACTATACATTACAAAACATTACATTACAAAACATTACAATTTACAAGTATCGTAGATGAGTGTATGATGAATACTATATGATGCGATGGAAGAATACTATACAAGTCTATTAATGCGGTAGGATATTTTGCAGTGCAGTGTGCGAATACAGCTTTACATCTAAATCGAGTCGGAGCATAACGCTGTTTGCAGTAGAAGTATGAGAGTGCTAGGCACTGCCGTTATAGTGCCTGCTACCGCTCAGCTCAAGAAATATAATAATTATATTCTCAAGGACTCCATCCAGTTGGTTAGGACTTAGGATCATGATGGGACGCAATACGTGAACTTAATAAATACGTGTCAGTTTCTATTTGCGTTCTCTACATTTCACTATTATGCAGATCTGCGTAAGTAATAAGTAGTTTAATTTGTCTTAACATCTTCTTTGGCCTTGATACTGACGTTGGAAAGTTTTCAGTAAGTTTAAATTATTATGCATTTTTAATATACTCATAGCAGCCTAAGTGTAAAATTTTGGTTGTTCACAAGTTAATTTAAAACGTCTTATAGCCAATAATTTGTGTATAAGTGCTTGCGAATTTATACAGGCACCTTGATATACCTAGCAGTACTTGTACTCGTAGTTTGTGCATTATTAAAGTACAGTGTACTACTGATCATCGCCGTTAGTGCGTGTGCTAAACTTCAAGAACCTTTGGTGTTGCTGTTAATGATTTTAGTCGCACCGCTGCACATTAATACCTGACTAGCGCCAGACAAACACCTAACGAAGTACCTTTTCGTACCTAATTATTAATTTTTCGTATTAGCATCGAGATGTTGTGGTTAGAAACCGTCGGCTAGTTATATTTTGCTTAGGTATCACATTAATTTTCCTATTGCCAGCATTTACTGTAAACTGGCAGTTTATGCAGAGTGACAATTTCAGATAACCTTTACATTTCAAGGTGAAAACACCATTAACAATACATAAATTGTAAATATGTCAGAGTCAGCAGTCGGACTACGAAAAATGTGACAAGTGCACCACTTACTATTGTAAAGGCTTTGCTGGTGCATGTTATTTGAGTTTTACTCACTGTGCTGTATATGTAACCCATACAGCAATACCAAGTCCGCCTATGGCAGCTTGGCAGGTTTCGTTGCTTTAATGCATTACAACAATTTAGTTTTCGCTACTACAGATACAGTCGAAGTGGCACCGGGAGACATTTTGTACACATTTCCAAATTTTTGCCTTAAACTTACTGTAGTGAGTCTGGTTGTATGCACATTGTACTTGTTGTACCTGCGAACTGATTCGATTTTGAATGGAGGCACGTGAATGCTAAGAGCAGGACCTAAAAATTTCCTTAATCAACAATTTACAATCTCTAAATTAACAAAAACTTTTCCAATAACCTGGTAAAATATCTCCGTTAGTGGAGTTTGGCGGCTGTAGTGCGATAATAATTAATAATGAATAATTCGCTTTCCCTGTAAGGCTGCTTATGGCAGACTGTAAGCCAGATCCCTTGTTTTCACCTTTTTGAGTCAAACATTTACGTGCCTTGTCATTCTCTTTTGTTAGGGTACTTTGCGCAAAGGCAAAATGCATTGACCTTTCCATGGCAAGTTTTGCATGCGAACGCTACTTTCTTAGTTGATGGCTAACGTTATTGACACTGTATAACGAAAAACAGACTACATACTGACAACATTTAAAGGATTTTACAGTAGACCAAACGCTTCGAAGTTCGGAACCGCTCATACATTGTGCCACATTTTATGCGGCATCTGCCAGGATTTATCGTTTGCCAGTTGCCAAACTCTCCAGGTTTTATCGCATGCCATGCCACTGGCAGTGCCATTGGCAGGTGCCACTGCCAGGTTTTACACCCTGCCCCGGCAAAACGGTTTGCCACCGCATATGCAGTTCGGTAAAACCGTCCGCCCCCGAATATTCAGCAATACCATCCGTTCCGGAATATTCAGACCTCGTCGTTCTAAACATCGAACGTCGTTCACAACACGACAAAAAGCAAACAAATTGGGTGAGCAAAATTTACGGCGGACGTTTTCTTGGGCCGTCGGACAGTTTTGCCGTCTTACAGGCAAAAGCGTCCGGCGGACGGTTTTGCCGGTTACACACGCCCAAGCGGCTGATTCCCTGGTGGGTTCCTTAGTCGTAACTAATTGAAGCAGGTCATAAGACAAATTTTTATGAAAGTTTTAATGATAGTAAGGTGCAATAATCGTCCGCTAACAGGATACAGTGATTACTGATTATAAAGCAAAACATCGCGTAAATGTGCGCTAAACTGGAGATGTCCATGCAGTTCAGTTCAAAGCAGTTACATATTACGTACATTCGCAAAATAAGCGACGAATTAAATTATGGCAAAAATGTCAAAAATATCTGACTAAAATAGTGAAAAATAGTGGTATAGACGTATGTCATAAAATGACCAAATATATATTACGGTTTCTTTTCGAGATGCGGCATGCTGAAGCCGAGCAGAAGCTAAGGAAAATTACATCTGCAACCCCATAATAAATGGGCGAGTTTCCAGCTCCTGGCTTGTTGGTCTGCCCTCCGGTAAGCGAGCCAGACATGCCGATACGAATGCGGACGCACTGGGAAAATTTCGCAGAATGCGTGCATCAGGTGATGCTTTCCAACGCAGCAACATACCCAGATTAACAACGAATTCCGTTAAAGTGCGTTCTGTCTTGAAGTTATACTCCATAATCGTGCCATGTTTTTCGTAAATCCAACGCGGCGGACTGCGCTGTACCATTTCAACGACGGTGCATCCGAGGCTGAAAATATCCGTCGCTGTGCCCACTGGACTTGTCGAATTGTCTGAACCGAAGATCAACTGCTGCATTTCCGGTGAAGCAAACTGAGACGAGCCTTCGGGAGACGTTATAGGATAATCTCCGAAGCAGGATTCTGTATTAAGATATGCCGCTTTTTCGAAGTGAGCGATTTTCAGTGTGAATGGTGTAGTTGCGTCTGTTTGACGTCTCTCCACAAGGATATTCGAACACCGGATATCCTTGTGTACGATACCGTTTTCATGTATCATGCGTAGACCGCTTAAAATCTGTTTCGTAAATACCGGTACCATTTGCACGCAAAACGCCCTTGTCGCTATCATTGTGGATAACGGCTCGAAGTCGCCTGAAAGAAAACCATACGTCACAATATTATGCGTGGATAGTTCGGTCACTTCAGTCCATAAAGAATTTTTCAATGCAGATTTGAAATTTACCTTCACTTTGGGTAAGAATTACCAGTTCCATAGTTGGCTCAGCTCCGTAGTCAAGCAAAATCGGTTTAAGATGCTTTACAACGTTCTCCGGTGATTTCTCAAACAACAGTTCAGCAACTTTATGCTTATTTTTTATCATCGCAAGTCGGCATTTGTTTAGCGACGAGACTAGGCATGCGGTGACGCTTTTCGCACCGCCCAACTCGTCCAAATGGATAAGCTTCTCCTCTAAAGCTTTCAAGCTATTTCGCTTTTCTTCCGGTTCCTCTAGCACAATGATGTCGTAGTCGAACGTGTCCTGAACAGGAATCTCTTCTGTACACTTTTTTCCTGGCTGGCATTCCTCCATATTATAACGGAACAAGTCAAAACTTTGATGTTCCGTGCTGCGTAGAGTAATTTCCCAGGAACGAGAGGCACTATCCGTTACAATATCCATATTTCTTCTCGGTTTCTAAACAACTTTCAATACATCGTAACTGTCAAAACTGTACTTTATGGTTAGCTGTTAACCAGTATCATACGATGCCATCCGGAGACGGCAATCTATCCGGTGGCCCCAAACAGTTCTGACGCAGAGAGATATTTCTGTCAAAGCGTAAACCAGAACGTAAAAATTATGTAATTCCTAATCTTTCCAGTAAAAGGCACGCTCCCCTAGTTCCATTTATTATCTGAACTCAGCAAGATTTGTTATCGGGAATAGTAAGAAATGCTATAAAATTAGCAATCAAAAATTCTTTAGATATAGTGCTTTATCGTCAAATATGCGCAAAGATTGTTGCAACAAAAATGGGTGCGTAAAAACGGATAAGGTGTTAGTAAGCAAGTCAATGCATTACAAGTTCCACCGAAAAGAGGACTGGCAGCAGCTTTTATCGCTTCGTGAAATCATGTGCAGTACAAGCGTGTAACTGTGCTGGTTGCTTCTCATAGGCCGATAGGCGAACTTTAGTGATAATTATATTGACATGGGCTGCCATGTGCAGCTGGGCCGAACGCAGTACACAGAGTGTGTTTGACTAATAATCACTGACTTGTGTGCCTAGTCCGATATAAACTGTAATTCCAACTCTTGGTCTCAGCATGAATAACGAACACACCATGTCTTTTGGCCTGGAGCGATGTTGGAACCGTGAGACGAGCACTGATTAAAATGCTCGTATTCACAAGCAAAGTACCGATAAGTGTTGCAAACAATTACGGAAAAATGCAACTCTGGCTGGAAATGTATAACTGGAATAACATTTGCTCGCGATCCGCTGATCTAAAGGTATTCCACCTGGAAACTGTAGCACAAACAATCTATGCAGAGCCTCGTTGCGACTACAGTACGTTATTAAACGTCCTTCACCTATGGTAAAAGTATATCTCTATTTGCCATTTGCCAGTGATAAGCAACTTTGCCGTATCTGCAGTTTTTCGATACTAGCACAGTCCGACGTACTTACTGGCTACTGCTAAAAGATTCATATGCTACGTACATATTAAAGCAGGAAGTTACCCAAGTGGTACAACATATGCTTTTTCACTTTCCAGTGTCTCATTCTGAAATGGCCGCCCGGGCCATCGAATGTGGTAAATATCAGCCATTCTTCATGGGTTGCTGATTTCATTTTCAAATTTTTGCCAACCCCTTTCCGATCCCTAAGCACTGAGGCGTCACAATGCCACAAGGTGGGTAATTTTTATGTCGTCAAGCTGATGTGTCATTATTTTACCATGACACAATAATGCCCCAGCTTCCGGCCTTCGGCAAAAACCAAGGCATTTAATAATTATTGCAGGTATAAACTATAGCGCAGCATATAGTATCGCAGCCGTATTACTGCTGGTTTTTCACCCAGAGTCACTAAATGTGATGTTTATTTTAACAAAACTGTAAAACTGCATTTATTGATTTTTTTAGTTATTAACATTATTAACATTAGGTTGTTTTGTGTTAGCAGTTTCGGCGGAATAATGACATTTTCTTCAACGAAATCACAACGAAAAATTACATAACTTTTTTATTAATCATTGCCCCCCCCCCCTCTCTTTGATATAATCTTCTCTCGACCGTACATTTACAAAGGGATCGCTAACCGAGTTAAAGTCTAAAATGAAAAAAATGCAACCCCGGACGCAAATTGGTAAAATGAGGTATACGAAATCTTCTTTGCCGAATCTGGTCACAATGACTGAAAAATCGTTTGCTCTTCAGATGAAGCGCTACAAATATTCCGGCAGCAGCTACGTACTGTATTGGACACAGCCGCCCAACATTCACCATGCCACGGCGGCATCTTTTGGGATAATGTCAATCTGGAAAAAAGTCCGCCACCTATTCTCGGTGAGCCGAAAGATTTGAAGCAACTATGGACATCATGGACGGACGAAGGCTCTGCCTATGTACCGTACATTCCTCCGGAAGGCGTTTTTGCATTGCCGGATACAGAAGGCGAAACTGGCAAAGCCGACGCGTGGGCGCTGGGGTGCTTGGCTATCCAGCTCATTAACCAGCAGCCATTAAAACTAATACGACAATGGCGCTTCGCTCAAAGCACGGATGTCCTGCAACTGGAAAAATCCCTGCTGCCAAAACTAAAGGAGTTTTATACTGGGGCGGGACAGGAAAAGGGACTGGTCATTGGTCCGGAAATGCAACTGCTTCGAACGGTTCCATGCGCTTGCAAAGATTTTTTAAGTCACTGTTTGGAGCTGAATCCAGTTAAACGATGGAGTTTGCAGAAACTGAGCGGTCATCCGTTTTTAGATTTGGGCAAATCATTGAAAGACCTTTTTGCGATGGATGCCTTGCACTACCAGCAGACACTGCCCTATAAGGAACCCATCACAGTTACCAATGTACGGCCGCATCCGTTTCTGAAAAATGACGATCCAATGTTGCCGCATCAGATCGGGGAAATGAAGTATAAAGAAGGCCCTGATCGTCCTGCGCAGCGCGTGGATATTTTGCGGTTCGGGGCAAGTGGCGAAAAACCCAGCGACTTGCAGGAACATCGTGACTTCTACACGAAAGCCTACGGGAAATATATGGACGCGTTGGAAATGGAAACAAGTATGGATGCACGGATTCGTGAATGGGCTGAGGTCTACAAAATCCGTGCACTGCAGGAAGAGAATAAAAATATTGTCAAACACTTCAGATGCCGGTTTGTTGCGCCACAATACCCGGCGTTACCAATGGAAGTACAGATTATTACCGAACATTGTCCAGGTAAGGAAACATATTAATAATTAAACTAATTTTGCTAAAACTTTTGCATTAAACTTTCATCGCAGCAAAAAAAAGCGGAGAAAGGTAGAAGTTTTAACAATGATCCCAGTTCGAGACTCATATAACCAAACTGTTTCGCTGTACGAATGAAAAGAAATGACGTGTTGTCACTCTGTAATCAACAATTAGGCACAACTTTCACCAGAGCGTCTTTATCTTTGTGAAAGGCTGGACACTGTAAACAGGATTTCTTTTTCCTTTCAAGCATTTTTTGACGTGCACCGAATTTACGGGTACTCGATAAAAGTGTTTTCACGAATATTTAGGAGGTACGTTTACGAGCGCCGCTGTCTACAAGTTGCCCATCGGTATCGCCACGAAATGGGCGCGCGAAGTATTGCAAGGACTCACATACCTACATGAAAACCGTATCGTTCATCGCAACATTAACAGCAGCAGCATCTTCTTTAGCGAACCCGATTTTAAAGGACACGTCAAGATCGGAGGTTTTCAGTATATGCGACAGCTAGAAAATGATCGCACTGGAAAACACGACATCAGCGCTCGCTGTGGAGTGGATGGGAGGTTCGTCGCACCAGAAATCGTCAGCTCTTACGCTGACGATATCAACATTGGTAGGAAGTGCGATATTTGGAGCTTGGGCTGTGTAGTACTGCATCTGATATCCGGTGACCCACCGCTGTATACGGGCGCAAAAAATAAACCGTTGGTGCTAGAAATGGCAGTTTCTTACCACCTAAACAGCGGAAGCCGAACACTTCCCCACATTGATGACTGGATACCGAATAATTTCCGAACCTTCATCCGGACATGCTTGGACTTTAATCCAGATAACCGCCCGATAGCGGAGACACTTCTCGAGATAGTGCAAACCGGGCTGTTTGGTATAACTGAATTGGAAGCCAATAACCACTTCGCACACCGCAAAGGTTTAGAACTCCCCGTGGATGTCGTCCGGTATTGGGAGAGTTACGCGTGATTTACGTACGTTGCTCAGTGCATTACTTGCACAACTTTGGCACTAGTTTTATTCGCAGATTACGTGCATTTTTCATTATGGTTGTGATGGTGGTAGTTTGCCCTTTTTAACCGGCTGCTATTATTTTCTAATGTTCCTGTAGCTTTGTTTTTACTGTATTGTTGGTGATGCGCGCTAATGTCTTTAGAATAAATTTTAGTTTATCGCCGCTTGTCCAATTTTTGTGATTTGTTTTGTGCTGCACACCTGTAAATCCTTTTGTTTTCATGTAAAGAACACACATGTGCGAGTCAGTGCAAGATAAAAGGCGCAAAAAAAACGAGGATCGGTTTCTCAAATGAAGTTTAAAAAAATTGCTTTTTGGCGTGACGATTAAGAAACTTCACTATCTTATTACGGCAGTACTCGTTACTCTATTACAAATCTCTATGCGGTATGCTTTACTTTGTGTACGAACAACAATGGAATGTACCACGCCAGGCACTGGGAGACCGGAAGTTTGGAGCACAGCTATTGCGTGGTTCGACAGTTTAAATTTTGTACAAGTATAGCCAGGTCGGATACTAGGTCGCATCACCTACGTAAAATCGAATAAACTCGATACAAAACTCACCCCGAACGCACCGGTAATGACGAAAAGTGACCTTCGATCGATTTTGTGATTCACCAATATAGGCTTGTATTTGGTCGTTCATTACAGTCAACCTTCGGACCTCAACTACCGGTGTATGGACGTATAAAGAAACAAAAGGTCGTAGCGCTTGCTTTAATTTATACACACACAATTTCCTCACCATATAGGGGGCAAAATGAAAGTTTACAAACAAACAGTTATAAAATGACGATTAACTTTTTTCCAGTACATGGAACTCTGGGTTTTAGGAACGTTGTCTTATCGAAAACAGCAGAAGCGAGTTGCAGCAGCGGAATAGTACAACTGTCGGTACGCTGGTCGTACCATTGCAGATGTGGTTGTGTCCCATGGTTATTGATATTTTTACGATGCAAGGCGGATAAACGGATGAAATTTTAACGTTTCGTAGGATCTTCGTTCGCTAGCCGGCCCAGTACAGAACCCGACAAACGCACGTGCCTTCTCTTCGAGTTCGGGCTGGTTAGCATCGCGAATCCCGCTCTCATCCGGCTTCGCTCCGTGACTCCACAGTGCACACATATGCCGAACGAAATCTCCTTCGGTCGTCTCGCCCTGTACAAAGGTGTATTCTTTTCGAATTTCATTTTCCTCATACACCCATATGGGGGGTTTTCGTGAATACATTTCAATCACCGTACAACCCAAACTGAACACATCCGTTGCCGGTCCCACTTCCGTCGCGCGGCTGTTGGTACCAAAGGCCAGCAGTTCTTGCATTTCCTTGGACGCAAACTGCGAGGAACCCTCCGGATACTTGATGGACGTTCCCAGGTTGGAGTCCCAGCGATGATAGGTCGCTTTCTCAAAATGAGCGATTTTTGCGATGTTCTTCATTTCATCCACAAGAATATTGGAGCAACGGATATCTTTATGAACAATGCCGTATTGGTGTAACAGTAGCAGTCCGTTCAGTATCTGCCCAGTGAAGCCCGGAATCATGGCGGTTTTAAATCGTCGCGTTTTCAACATGTCCGACAGGAGAGTGTATGCATCTGCAAAAATAAAAGCGTTAGACAGTCAAATTAATCTGACCAGAAGCGTATTTTACGAGACTGGTTTCTTGACACCAACGAAGCGTATTTTACGAGACTGTTTGTTCACCACCAAAAGATTGTTTTGCATTACCTTCGTTTTCCGTAAATATTCGCAAGTCGGTCATCGGATTCTCCGGCTTCACTGCGTAATGAATTATGATATTTTTTGTCTGCGGCGCAATTTCCTTAATAAGCAGCTCGAAGACCTTAAACTTGTTTTCAAGCACTACTCTCTGCTGGGTGTCGTCAACCTTAGCCGGCGATATTACAGAAGCCCAACCGGGTGGATTATTACTTCCGATCATTCCAGGAAGGGTCACTTTTCTTAGTAGTTTATCCTCGTCACCGTCGTTCCCGGTAAGAACAATCTTTTCGCTGGAAGCCACTTCCGGGCTCGGTTGATTTGGTTCTACGGTCATCCGCTCAAGACTGTAACGTTCCACCTTGAACCGTTGCAATTCCATCTGCTTGAATCTTGGTTCAATTTTGCAAAATAGAAAGTAGTATAATTCATGGAGAAGAGTGATCAGCTGTGCAGCAGAGAACCGTTTTTCTGGATCCGAAATAAAACACCCCTTCAGAACTGGATTTAATAAACTGTCCTTCTCCAGTGTGTAGTATGGTCGACAGCCCATTTTGAAGAGGTGGTGCATTTCTCTGAAATACGTAGGCAGTTTTTGTTCGCCACTTTTCTGGTTCTCATAACCGGTAAAACGAGGAGGACGCCCTTCTTCCACCATTTGTACCATAACCCATCCGAAACTCCAAATATCGGTCTTCCGGCCAGTCTGCTTTGCGTGGTTCTGCGACTTAACTGACAGTGCTGCCATCTCAGGTGAGACAAAGGGCACAGTTCCTGCAGCATTTTCGATAAACTGGGGAGGTGTGGATGATCCGCTAAAGTGTTTGGCCATGGTCAAACCGGTGATCTTGGCTTTGCCGTTCGGTGCCACAATAATGTTTGCTCCCTTGATATCCAGATGGATTATCTGTTGATCGTGGAGGAACTGCATGCCGTCTAGTATCTGTGCTGCATATCGAACGACTGTGTACTCTGTGCCTCCGCCATTCTGACGCATAAATTCATCCAGCGGCAACCCTAATAACAGCGGTTTGCTTGAACAGGAGTTCGCATTAATCGCAACTGCAGTATTAAGGCACTTCAAGCGTTTTCGCATTAGAATCGCTAATCGCTTGTGTTAATTGCTTTTACTGTTTATAAAAAAATCGTTGGCATTATCAGCACTTTTACGGTAGCATACGGCTAGATCGACAAAGACATCTGACGAAACTGGATAGTGGTGTTGTTTCTTAAACATTTTATTGAAGTCACTAATCATAGTTTGCTATGCTGTTTTTGTTGCACTCCTCTGCAATTTGTTCTGGATAAAATTTCTCAGCAGCTATTATATTTATTTAATGCAATTATTGAAAGTATTTTCCTGTGTCTATCAGTGCCGGAAACTTTGATGGCGGGTGCATGTTTCTCTTGCAACTTCAAACAGCGGGAGCGTTTCTAATGCGTAAATCGTCAAAGTGAAAAATCAATGTGTAGTACAAAATCAGCAAAATAATTTTTACACAAACAAAATAATTTTTACACTCAGCAAAATAATTTTTACACTCAGAAACATTTACCCACCATTGCACTCTTCTGTTAAAATATAGCATGTACTGGATAATCCCGGCGCTCCCGAGGCATAACTAATGCCATAATATTTTTGAACATGTTCGTTTCCGTCTATCGTTGCGTTTACCAACGGCTGCAACAGCATTCTTAATTCCTTCATTTCATTTTTTGCATCGGCACGCTGCGATGGTATGACCATGAGTTCGGCTGTCGTCGGCAGCGGTGTCATTTCCGCCAACCTTCCGAATCCGGAAACTGCAAAGTGCGCATCCGCTTGCGGTCCACACAGTGGTAGTTGATTTTCATCTGTCTTCCCTGGGCTTCCTGGCTTTGCATCTTTGAAAACGGCAACGCGGTACGTTATGGAACTTCTCGTACAACGCTTATGCCGGAAATTTCCGGCGTATATATTTGACATTGCGTGCTGGCGGTGCTGCAAATTTAAGGATAAAATGCACACCGTAGTTCATTTATCTATATGAAGGATAAGCGATGCACAATTAGCAGTCATAATCGACGTTGCTTTCCAGCATTGTTTAGCAATTAGCAATATCGTGCAATTCAAAAACATTCAAAAGTGACGTTAGAAGTACTGATCCAACGGTACACAAAGTGCCAGTTTGTGTTTCACGTGTAGTATTGTACTTAACAGTAACATTAATTTTCAGAATATGCGGAGTACTGCATCAAACACA